TCATGAATGACTCGGTTCTTTCAGACTAGTCTGGAGTGGAAGTTCTACCAGGCGACCAAATGACAAACCTGGAGTGTGCGGACGACATAGCTGTTCTTGAATCTGACGCAGTGGTTATGCAAACACTACTGGATAGGCTGATGCGTAGCGCTGCACGCTTCGGCATGTGCTCTGCATCTTCAAAATGCAAAGTACTGCTGCAGGATTGGACTGAGAAGTCTCCGGTTCTAGCTATTACCGAATAGCCACTGGAACTGATGGATCGGTACACTAATCGTGGTAGCTGTGTCATCTCTGGTGATCACACTACTGAGGGTTACTTCGCGTATCAGTAAGGCCCGTGTGGCTTTCCAAAGGTTCAACCATCTATGGAAACGGCGGTGAAAGGTAGGGTGTATAACGCTGTGATAAGACAGTTATTACTGTATGGATCAGAGGCCTGGCTGCTTCTCAGCGAGAGCATCAAACGCTTGGCCGTGGTTGGCCACCGGTGCTTTCAGAGTATTGCTCACATCAGGTGGGAACATAGAGTGAGCAATGCTGAGGTCCACCAATTGGTTTTTGGCAAGAAGCCTTCTGGTTCCTCACTGGAGTGTTTAATAAATCTTAATCGCTTATGTTGACTGGGTCATGTTCTCCATATGCCTGTTAACCGGCGTTCTTGGCGTGCATTTTACGCCGTGGCTGCACTGTGTTGGGGGAAACCACGAGGCGGCCAGTCCATGACATGACATCGATGCATGAAGAAATTGACAGAGAGACATGGCTAGGGTGGTGCTCGCTGTCGTCGTGGATGGGTGCCTCGGGATGGTCCACATCAATGGTTGGAGACCGTATCCGGCGTGGCGCAGTCACGCAGTCAGTGGCGTTTCTGCATTCGATTTTTAACATCTGGTGGTTAATTTTCGTTCCATTCCGATTACGTTAATATACTTCCCTCTTGCTTCCATGTTCTTTTCATTCTATTTGCATTCAACCCAACTATTTTGGCGTTGTTATTTATTGTTATGCTCGCGATGTGAGTCGTAGCAACTGGATCCGGCGCATCTCGGTGCTCGGATCATAGCTGGTCAACCGAACTGAAATGGACGGATTCCACACCGGTCATGTGCAAACGCTGAATTGTGGCAAATGGTGTGTATGGGAAAGACATATGGACAAAAAGGAACTTACCCGTTTGACTGTAGAGGTATCAACCGCATAAGTGGCGTCAGCGAACTTCTCTTTGATGGGTGGCAAAGGGCACTTTGTCTCTTCAGGCAAAGATGGCTCACAATGGGATGTATCAGTGGGGCGAGTGGTGCGGAGACGTTTCCTCGTTCGAGTGAGCACAGAATCTTCCCATTCTTGTCGACTTCGATTCTTCACGTCATGCTGGCCCATACGGAAAAAGGATGGAGAAAAGTAGGATTTGCTAAAAAGCGTTTATGTCATCGAGATTAGGGTATTGACAAGTCATAGATAGTACGCTTTTTAAGGTTTTCGGCCATATTGCGAGGAAAGTATACAGATCCAAATTCCTACTTGCTCCCACAATCCAAATATTCAATACCCATTCCCCTCACCTAGTACCAATTTTTACCTAACCCATTACTTCCTTTATCTTAGATCAGCACAACAGGAGCGATTGCTAGCTGCATCATCATCATCACCATCGTCATTACACACGTCAGCTACAAGTGGAAAACACCTCTGCTATTGTGTCACAATACAGAAGACAAAGAAACAACAGAGGCACGCCGACTGAGACCCCAGTAACTGATGGACATCGTTCCGGAGAGCTAACAGCCGGCTATCGTGCCGTAAAAAGTCATATTATGCCTAACGAATGAGACCGTGATTGGAGGGGAGGCTAAGCAGGAGGGGGATGGACAAAAGTACTTACAACACAAATGCCTTTGGGGCCGGCTCTTTGCCAGATCGGCAAGTGTGTTCAACCAAACGTGTTCATCGTCCTTCTGACTCCATCATGGCAGTCGGGAAGCACCAACCGACGACAACTTCGAAGTGAGGGGTTTCATTTCGTTCGACCATGTCCCCTTGGCCTCACTACTCTTACAACCGCATCCCCAACGCGCAAACAATGCACGTCGCGAGAGTCGGTGTACCGGTAATGCGCAACACGTGGCCCAGCCATCGGAGCCTGGTGCATGATATAATGGTGCTGAGCGGTTCACTAGCCATTCCCGCACCAAATACGTGACGCCGAACACGCTCATTGCTCACGCGGTGCTCCCACCAGACACGAGCCAAATTGCGGAGGCAGCGGTGATCGAAGATGACTAGCCTCTTTATGTCTGGCGACCTGATGGGCCAGGTTTCACGATCGCATAAGAGGGTTGAACAGACGGATGCATTATAAACTCTGCCCTTCAGGGCGAGAGTGATGTCGCGTCTGCGCCACAGGTGGCGAAGATTGGCAAAAGCACCTCGAGCTTTTGATATGCGGTTCGTAATCTCAGCTTCGATTCCACGGGCGCTAATATAGCTGCCCAGGTATTTGAATTGCTGAACGGCTTCTAGCTGATATCCCCCAAGGGTCAGCGCAGGGGTGGGTCGTTGCCAATCTTGAAGAAGAACTTTGCATTACGATAGCGCAAAGCATAGCGCAAAACGATTGACAGCCAGTGCTAATCGGTCCAGTGTAGCCTGGTACGTTTGGGCACTGTCACATACGAAAGCAATGTCGTCCGCGTAATCCAAATCAAGAAGTCTCACCAGAAGGTAGCTCCACACCTAGGTCGTGTCTAACGAACATTGTTTCCATGACTCCATCAATAGCGAAATTAATGAGGAACGGTGACGGCGAGCAATCTTGTGTAACACCGCTGGAGATATTGAAGGGCGGCAACAGTTTGCCATAAACCCTCACTCTGCCCGAACTAAGTGCGTATATATAATATATATTATACACAATCTGTGGTACAGATATTGTGCCATCGGAATCATGGCAGAATAGAAAAACAGTATGACTGATAAGAAAAGAGCAAAGACAACAAAAGCATTTTTGTGTAGCTTACCACTCATAGTTTTTGAAATCTTTTCCCTTTGCTTGATAATGCTAACAGATTTACCGGGCATACCTCACAGCAGACAGTCGTAAAGGGCACATCGATCCACCAAATCGAAGGCACCATTGATGTCGAGAAACATGATAACAATGGGTCGTCAATAGACATGGCGATGCTCCAACAATTGACGCAAAGTGAAGATGTGGTCGATGAAGCCTTGATTTCGACGAAACCCGGCTTGCCCTTCGCGGATCTGGCCTTCACGAGCGCCAGTCACCCTGTGCAGAACGACAGAGGCAAGCAATTTAGAGGCAATTGAGATCAGACTGATCCCTTTATGGTTGTCGCATTCCAAACGGGTGTCTTCCCTGAAAATTGGGAAAATGACGGAGTGGCTCCAGTCTGTCGCGACAGCTTCCTGCTCCCAAAGTTCCTCAAGTAACTCGTGTAAATCATGTACAAGGGCACGTCCTCCGAATTTGTAGAGCGCTAGGGGAATGCACCAGCGGTCTTATGCAATTTCAACAGTCTGATCTCATGTTCGACTTCTGCGCGTGAGGGCGGATCTAAGGAGACGGCCCACGGAGAAGGGCACAAATTGTCCGAAAAAGAAAGCGATAACTCAGATTGGTAAACTGTCTTGCGAAGTGTTCGGCCTAAGGCTCCAAGCATTTGGACAAGCTGTGGATCGGCTGTCTAGTCTCGTCGCGTATTGTCTCGCTAACACCAGGTCGCCTGCTGCCTATTTCCCGTATCAGACGGCAACGGCAGCAAGTGTTCCTATTTCCAATGCACGATGAGACCACCAGGCCTCGCGATCTCTCTGAAGGCTAGCACGAATTTTTTCCATGAGATTTTCGTGAGTCTCATTGTATTCGCTTCCAGCCGGAATACGTCGGCGAGCATCCATAAGTCCCAGAGACTTTGTAGAGACCCAATGTCTAGGTTGGCAATTTGATTTGCCATATGAAGACATGCCTGCTGGTGGTAACGTTTGACGAATACGCGACCAGTGATCTTCGACGGTGTTCAGTGGACGCTTACGCAGCCCAAATGCCAGCGTAGTTTGATACGCATTCAGAACACTTGGCTTCATCAGCTGGCTGGTGTCCATGCGCTCAGAACGACGTTGCGGACGTCCGCCGAAACGCACCCGCAGATCAGCACACACAAGAGCGTGATCGGAGTTCATGCTCGTACTCCAAATTGAGCGACAGTTTTAGACACAGTCTCTACAGCGGTAACTAATTGCGATGTGATCGATTTGCGTCCATAGCTGGCCCGAGGCTGGCGGGCGCCAAGTCACTCTTCTGCGGGTGCTATGTCGAAAGTTAGTGCTCGCGAGGAAGAGACGAGCACCTATACACAGGTGCAGCAACCGCTCACCGTTATCATTACAAAAGCCTACACCATGTTGGCCGCTCAAATGAAGCTCATAAGAGGACAATTTTCCGACCTGGGCGTTTAGATCACCGGAAAGCACCACAGCATCCGTGCTTCTTCTGGAACGAAGATCGTTAAGTTGGTGGTAGAAATCATCTTTCACCGAATCAGGATTGCAGTTTGTTGGGACGTAAGCCGCAATGACATACAGGCACAGTTTGTCCCCGCGCGACTTCGAAGCATGGAACGAGGCAGCCAACCTAATGGCGCACCTCCGGCTGTTGACAGGATTCAGTCGATCAGGTCAGCTTCAGCCCAGGGACTCAAAACAATGCCGACGCCAGCTTGACCTGCATTTGAAGCTGCAACATCGCCAAACAAGCGTAATGAGAATGTACTTATGAGTAGGGGATTTTGATGTAATTATGTGAGGTCCATCGCAGCCAGTTTTCAAATCAGATAGTCGTCATAAGCTGCTGACTGGCGGTTCAAGCCGCTGGTGGTCATGGTTTCGAATCCTGACGGATCCGATGGATGCGCACTACTGACGATGCCCAACAGACTGAAACTGCGGTCTAGTGCTTTTCCGGGCATGTGGACGACTATCTGATTTGGAGACTGGCTGTGATGGACCTCACATAATAATGAGAATGTGCCGCACGTGGGAGGTCGCAGAGTAAGCACGGAGCTCGAATCTTGCAGGCGGGTTTCCGATAAACAGCAAATATCGATCGTTAGAAGGAAAGGTCATGGTGTATTGCGGGGGCAGGATACTGTCAGGTTGCCCAGGCCTAGACAGGAGAACGATTAGGGTTCTCAACCAAATTCTTTGGTTCAAAAACCTGACCGCAAGGCGGCAGGGTTTTGGCACTAGACTACAGAGAGCCCGTTTCATGGTGCAAGGAGCCACTCTCACTCCAATCCCCAATCTGGAAGGCCAGGAGACTGAGTTTGTCTGGTTTCTAACCATTGACTAATCTGGTATGAGTGGCTCTGAAGGTGCGAAAAGCACCAACCAGCATAGCTCAATGGATCACTAAGGCGCACATCCGTCGCACCACGTTAAGGACCAGTGTCATCGCTCGGTGCAATCGTAGGTCTGCGCGCAAAGCGCTTAAAATCGGGTGGTGGAACAAATGAGCACCCCGAGCGACGAATTGCACTGGGAGCGATGGAACTCGCGAACCACGGCATTGATATTGCCGCACTGAGCGAGACTCGGGTTGCCCACCAAAGCAAGCTGCAAAAAGATGGTGGTGAGTACACGTCCTACTCGATAGGTAACGCCACCACAGTATCACGTGAACATGGGGTCGGATTTATACAATCCAATCGCCCAGATGGCCACCTGGTAAGCGAACCGACTAGCGTTAGCTCACAGTTGGTCACTCTTCGTCTCCGTCGCAGATGTAAGATTACAACCATGTGTTATCCTGATGATACGAGGGATCAATTTTGCGATCAGCTGTCCTCCGTGATAAGGTCTGTGCCGAGGAGCGACCGGCTATCCCTACTGGTCGATATTAACGCGCGCGGTGGGGCTAATGCGATGGCGTGAATAGACGTAACTGAACAGTATGGTGCTGGCTCAGCCAACGGGAACGGCGACAGACCGCTCTCACTGAGTGCCACTCATGGTTTGATGATCACAAACACACAGATTGCACTGTGTGCGAGTGACACTGCTACTTGGACGCACCCACGGAGTAGTCACGCTCAGCTGCTCGACTAGGTCATTCTACGCCAGCGTGACATGCGTGAAGTGCGCGTGACACATGCATGGCATCGAGCCGAATGGCACTGATCAAAAGTTGGTACGGACCGAATTGTACATACAGTTTCGTAAATCTGTGTTGATCGTCTGCCATGAATAGGCAAAATTTAGTGGGCGTTCATTAGGTATTGTTGAGAAGAGGATGGAAATGGTTGACCGTTTGTGTCTTAACGGTGCTTATAAGTACCACTTTGCTTACGTTGTGA